AAAATTAGCCATTGAAAGATTGTCCAAAATCTGCTATTCTTAAGCTATTGTATAAATAATGTATAAAATATTGTCATCATCTTTGATTTCTAAACATTTCCAATCAAACAAATAAACCCCATATTTTAGGTAAGGGGGAAGACGAGTTTCTACTAGTGAAAAATAAATAAATACATAAATAGACAAATAAGGTAGTTTTGTAAAATGTTTTGAAAAAAACTTCATTGATTATTTAAACCAGGGTTCTAATAGAGTTATAAACCAATAATGAAAAGTGCTAAAGTAACAAACATTTTTAAATTATCCTGCCACAAATTATGACAACAATGGCAGTTTATTGGGACTTGAGTGGCATTTTGCAAAAGTTACCTCATTTTAGGAATTTTAGTGTTTTAGGTACTAAAATGTACATTTACCTCATGGCAGTGAGAACACTTGTTTTTTTGTTTTTTTCTTGAGACAGAGTCTCAAGCTATGGCCCTGGGTGTCTTAGCTCACAGCAACCTCAGCTCAGGCTCAAGCAATCCTCTTGCCTTGGTTTTTTTATTTTTAGTAGAGACAGGGTCTCGCTTATGCTCAGGCTGGTCTCGAACTTGTGAGCTCAAGCAATCCACCCGCCTCAGTCTCCCAGAGTGCTAGGATTACAGGCATGAGCCACTGCATCCGGCAGAACACTGGTTTTAATGAAAAGAGGTTTTGTATAGTCTTTGGGGGCAACTGGAGTTATTCCAGTAGAGCCCTCATAGTTGACCACCTCTGTACAGTGACCATCTCCTTCCCTTGACCTAATTTTCATGGACCAGACATTTACCTTGTGTGTGTATCAGTATAAGAGGCTTTGTGCCTTCTGTTGACTACCTCTGTATTTTGACGAGTTTATTACAGTCCCTGGGGTGATCAAGTTTATTTATTTTTATTTATTTATTTATTTATTTTTGCAGTTTTTGGCTGGGGCTGGTTTTGAACCTGCCACCACCAGCATATGGGGCCAGCGCCCTACTCCTTTGAGTTATAGGCACCGCCTGACCACGTTTATTTTTAAACCTTACTATTTTCCTGTCACACTCTGTACAGGTAAATAGACGTGTAACAGGTGAAGCAAGTTCATCGCCATAAACAGTAGTATGAAAGGGAGTCCTCTCTGTCTGCCTGGAACACCGTCCTCCACCCACAGTGAGTTGAGAATACTTCTGACGCTCTCCTTTGCAGACAGTTTAATGAGCTGCAAGTTCCTGACGCAGACATCATCTCAGAGACAGCACATTGCACTATCAACTACGTTGAGTTAAAAAGATGACCTTTCCCTCCAGTCTGGGAAAGCAAACAACTTGATTTCATCTGTTGTGGCCACACAGGTGGCTGAGCTGACGACAGCAGTAAATAAGCTAAAGCACTGGCTGCTAGCTGAAGTGAAATCCGTGAACTTCCTCTCACAGGGAAGTCGATAAGGCAGCCTTTAGGCCAGGGGTCCTCAAACTTTTTAAAGAGGGGGCCAGTTCACTGTCCCTCAGACTGTTGGAGGGCCAGACTGCAGGCCCCGGGACCAGTCAGCTGCTAAGCAGGACAGGCAGCGGGTGGCAAAAACACCCGGCAGGCTGCATGTGGCCCGCAGGCTGTAGTTTGAGGACACCTGCAAGTTTAGGCCAAGGCAAAGCAAACACATGGATGACTAGGAACAAGGGGAGTCACTGAGTAAAGTTACCTTTATCAGCAGAAGCTGTCGGGTGGGAAGGGCCAAAAAAGGCACGGTCAGCACTAGGATGTGGGGATGTGGCCAAAATCTTAGCACTTGTGGGTAGAGACCTTGAAAGAAAGCGCCCTGGGAGCACCAACCGTCCTTCAGTGGAGGTCAAAGAGAGGTCACTGCAATTTTCACCTGGGCTATGGGCACAGGCGCTGCCAGCGGAGTCCTCAGACAAGGAGGTCTCTGTCAAGGAGTCCCTAAGGGATGGAGGTGGAGGGCCCAAGGAAGAGACAGTGTTCCCCACTGCTGGAACCAAAGCCTGCAGCTCTTGCTGCAAACACTGAGGGTTAATCCAGGCAGCTTTGTGCCTTCTGAGCCGGATGTCTAGTGGACACGGGGGCTGGTCAGGCTCCAGGAGGCTGGGCAAACTGTGAATGTTGCTGGAATCGTTGCTGATCCCTTCCCAAGGATCCACAGAAGAATCCTGCCGGCTCGTAGACTGTGACACCATCTCTCCAGCTTGGGGCTGGTGCCGATCTGTTCAAAGCAGATAGAAGGAGCTCTTGGAAGGCTGCTCTACCGCCTGATCAGGGCCTTGACCTCATCACATGGCTGGCTGAGGATCTGGAGAGCTTCCCTGCAATGAGAAAGAATCATTCAAAATAAATGTTCAATCAGAGTTTGACTACGACCTATTTTAAGGAGGCAAAAAGGAAAAAAATTTTAAAGTTTGCACTTGGCTCTATCCAACACAGTAAAATCCATTTGGATTTATAAGTCCAAAAAAATAAATGAATCAGCACTAAAACTAGCAACTTGACACTGGGATGGAAAACATTTTCCAAGGCATAAAAACGAAGAAACCACAAAGGACCACCTGATAAATTACATAAAAATGTAAGACAGCCATGCATAGAAACGATCCTAATAAAATTAAATGTCAAATCCAAAATGAGAATTCTATCTGGAAGTAAAGACATTTTCATATGTTCTTATCTTTAATTTGTTCTTGTATTTAAACAAAGTAAGCAAAATGGAATACATAGTATAAGACAGGGTGACAAGACCAGGGCGGTGGGTCACCCCTGTAATCCCAGCACTCTGGGAGGCTGAGGCAGGTGAATTGCTTGAGCTCAAAAGTTGGAGACCAACCTGAGCCAGAGCAAGATCCATCTCTTAAAATAGCCCGGCATTGTGGAAGGTGCCTGTAGTCCCAGCTACCGGGGAGGCTGCGGCAAAAGAATCGCTTGAGCCCAAGAGTTTGAGGTTGCTATGAGCTATGACGCCACAGCACTCTACTAGGGGCAATAAAGTGAGACTCTGTCTCAATAAAAACTTTGCTTCCTGTAACTTATATTAGGCATAATATTTAATTATATTTTAACATGAGTATAAATTTAATATCAACATAAATTTAGCTTGTAATAGTTAAGGAACCCACTCCACAGCGTTCCACACTCTAGAATCCATCTTTAAAATGGTTCTCTCACAGCTCAGCACCTGTAGCTCAGCTGCTAGGATGCCAGCCACATACGCTAGAGTTGGCGGGTTTGAATCCAGCCACGGCCCGCTAAACAACAATGACAACTCCAACCAAAAAATAGCCGGGCATTGTAGTGGGTGCCTGTAGTCCCAGCTACTTGGGAGGCTGAGGCAAGAGAATCACTTAAGCCCAAGAGTTGGAGGTTGCTGTGAGCTATG